CACACACACACACACACACACACACACACACACACACACACACACACACACACACACACACACACACACACACACACACACACACACTCTCTTCACTGTGAGCTCACAGGAAACACTCATCAACACTAACCTCTCTCATTTTACTCTCAAACCGGCTCTGATTCACAGCGACCGCTACGTTTTCCTTCTTCACACTCGCCTCACTGAGACGCTCTCAGCAGACACTGATCACTATGAACCTTTTATTTATTTACTGCTCTTTACATAAATAATATAAATTGGCATTATTTTTAATTATGTATTTATTTTTCATTTGAACATAAAGAAGCTGTGATTTTTCCGTGAAATTTCCCGTGCTGTAAAAACGAGCATGAATAATGTCGATAAGCACTGTAAGCACTACAAACACACGCAGCATTTTGTGCGTGCGTGTCGGCACAGCCGCAGCGCCGCCACCTCACCTGCACGCAGCACCGGCTCTACCAGAAACAGGAGCCCAGCGACAGCTTAGCAGGTCCACATGAATAAAACCTGAACATTAGGTACCGCCGGTGATGACGCTGAATGACACGAAGCATGAAATGTTCTAGAGCACAAATGAAAGATCGCAGTGAGCCACATTCAGCCACACACAGAAAGAAGATATTCAGTATGAAGAGCACAGAAACCCTAAACAAATATGTTCAGACCAGAATCTGTTCACACATCAACGTGATGTTTTAGACTTTTCACAGGAAGCAGCAAAGAAAGTAAAGCACGAGTGTTTTCCTGTGACCCCTCCACTCCTCATTTCATTATTGTGCAAATATTCTCATTTTCCTTCAGAGACTTTTAATTTTATCAGCAAACAGGCTTTTATTTACAGCTTTTATCGAATAAAGGAAGCCTAATTTATGCGTCCTCCACAGTGATTAAAATATATTACAGCGCATATGCTGGCTCCAGCGGTCAGAAGCCCCCCCCCCACTTTATAGATGTTAAACTTCCTGTGAGACTTTAGTGATGTTACCTCGCAGGATTTCTGGCTCTAACCGTTCTCATATTTCAAAGCGTAACCTCCTGCCATTGTGTGAAAATGCCCAGCGTAGATTTAATATTCATTTGTTGCATGGAGGGCCACAAACAGACAGCCCGGAGCCGTGATTGGAGGAGCGGCGCTCAGAGACAGACGGCGAGCAGAAGAGCAGCTAAATCATCTTGACATTCACCAAGAAGTAGCCACACAGAAAGCTCCCGCTGCTGTTAGTGCTCCCATCGACTAATTTGGTTCTACTTAACCCCTAAACACCCCTCACACACACAGACACACACACACAGACACACACACACAGACACACACACACACACACACACACACACGCACACACACGTGCGCCTCACAGTGACACGTTTAATTCCAGGTTCTCGGCACATC